TACATATATAAATGTATGTATACATATATATATATATCCTCGTGTCTCCCGTATATGAGTGTGCGTCCATGTATGTGAGCGACCTGATCACTGTATTTGGTCACCCTGTGTGCATGTTGTGTGTTTTTGTGTGTGGGGTTATGATCTATTTAGTTCGGGTTTAAATTTGTTTATAATGTTTTTTTTCCTGTATTTGTAGGTACGAGTAATTGTCTGTTTGATATATCGGCATGATATTAAATTTACCCTTGTTACATTTGAAAATGTGTTGTGATACAAAAAATTTTCTGTTGTCTGTCAATTTTATATTGCTTTTGTGTATGGAGACCCTGTTGTTCAGTTGTTGGCTGATGTCTATATATGACTTCTTACATTTTGTGCATTTAAGTGCATAAATTACATTTTTGGAGTTGCAGTTTAAGTTTTTATTTATTGTGAATATTTTGGGGGGGTTTTCAAAAGTGTAGGAGTTTCCTTCTATAATAATGTCACAAACCCCACATCTTTTTTTGTTGCATTTTGTGACTCGCTGTATTGTGTGTTGGTTAAATTTAGATGAGGTTAATATGTGTTTTAGGTTTTTAGATTGGCGTTTACTTTTAATTATTTTGGTTGTTTTTAGTATATTATTCAGTTTATTATTCTTGCTAAGTAAATCTAGATTTTTTGTGATTTCTGTGAATATTTCTGGATTGTTTTTAAGACATTTTTGTGTTTATACATTCTTTTTATAGATACAAATATTTAAGTAAATGTTCTCTTTTATACTAAACGATGTTCTCCGTGACTCGATCGGTTAATGCTCGCCAAACTAAATGACGGTTCCGTGTAGTATACAGGTTCGATTCCTGCCGGAGGACGAATATTTTCTCTGAAAATTTCTCGGACATTCAGGCCGGTAAATGTTATTAATTCTGTTTATTATAAAGCAGAACATTTACTTAAATATTTTATCTGTAGAAAAAGAATGTATAAACATAAAAACACACACACACACACATATATATATATATATATATATATATATATATATATATATATATATATATATATATATATATATATATATATATATATATATATATATATATATATAAGAAAAAAGAAGCTTCAGTATATTGACTCTGGCATGACATCTCGACTTCTGTCATCTAGCAACAGAGGTTTAATCTTATGGGCCCAATATCTTACGGTATCTTAAAAAATGTACATATTCGTTGGCCGTATACAAGTGAGTTTTGATAAAGCGTATAAGTACGTTTACAACACAGCATCTTTATATTTTAATTCCTGATTATAGACTGTATATTGTATTGTGTATCGACACTCTTCCTCCTAATGTATCTCCATCATTATTTTACCATCTTGGCAATTTGCTCTTATGGAATAACTTTTTAACATTAACTCTGGAAATAACCGAAGCATTAATGATGCCGCGGGGTCTTTTAGTATGAGATTTGCACAAAGATTTACACCGGAATTGCAGAAGAGATCGGTACACAAGAAATTCAAGCTGGAAGTTAACATCATAAACTTCAGCTGCAGATTATTGCCTGATGTAAGAGTCTGAAACCGATTTGTAGACGACCCAGCAATTGCAGGATGCACATAGAGAAGAAAGGGTAACTGAACTTATGTAAGAACCTCCCGAACCATGAGAAATTTCAGAAAGTATCTGCCATAGTCACAAGAAATTGATCCATGTCAGGAGAAAGTATCCCAAGTTACACATCCACTAGGATATTAACTGAACAAGTCAGAGGGTAAATAAATAATAATTTTACAAACACGTGTTTTATTAGTGTTTATGGCGATAACCTTAGAGTACTTGTCTGGGTTACTGCTTATTTTTTTATGAAATTTAATTTCGTTTTTTTTTTCTATAATATCGAGTGTTATCTTTTCTGTATTTCTTAAATGGCAAAAGTTTGCAATTCTTTCACCTAATATATCATGAACAAGACACGAACGATACGAATTACTCTTCTGATATAAAATCATTTGAAAGCGAAATACATTCTTACAAAAACAGGTGCACTATTAAGTCTTTCAAAATATTATTTGATGTGTTGAGTAATTTGATAAACATTTTAAAGTCATTTTTATCTATATTTTATTATGTTTCATCATCCCGAAATAACGATCATGTAATCTTAAATTTATTATCGGGTAAAAAAACAAAAAAACATAAACATACGTTTTATGACCAACTACGCGTTCCATTAACCCACTAGTGTCCACCTTCAGTTCCAGCATTAATTCTAAGTTTAATATACAAATCCAGTATTAATGATTTCCTGTTAGATCGTGTTAGATCCTCCAAGATCTCTTTCCTCATTACGTGTTCCAGAAATTTCACCTGTCTCTTTCTGATAATATCATTTTCCCCTGAGTTGATACTTTCTTTAAAAATTCCGCATTGCTCTCATGTTCCCTCAGTGGTTTTCTCAGGATTTCTCAGTAGAAAAAAAATATCTACGTCTTCAAGTTTTTACTTCATCTGTGAAGAGATTGTGCCAGATCAAATGTCGTATAGGTTAGATATTATGTAGTGGAGAAAAATAGTTTAATATCTGTTAATACCTCATTTATGATGGATTATTGCGTTTTGATCCCGCGGATCAGAGAGGCTATTTTGTTTCAGAGGGAAAATGAATGAAATAAAAAAGATGGAAAAAAAAGTAAAGAAAGACTAAAAGAAATAAATAATGGAAATGTTTAACGTCTTCTGCGAATATCTCATAAATACTGAACTATTTTGTTTTGATCGCGTGTGAAGACAGAAAAGACAAATCAGAGATGTTACTTTATTTCCATTAGAAAACGAAAGAAAGAAAGTATAAATGAATGAAAGAAAGAAAGGAAGTATGAATGAATGAAAGAAAGAAAGAAAGAAAGAAAGAAAGAAAGGATGGAAAGACGCCAATGCCTCATAAATAATAGACAATTCGGTTTTGACCGCGAAGAAAGAAGGAAAAGATATGTCAGAGATACTACTTCGTTTGAATGTGTAAATAAAACAAAGAAAGTGTTATGGTCCGGTTCCTTGTACCGCGGTGATAGTCCAAGGTAGAACCAATGAAGAAGAACTCGAATACGGATATGGAATAACACAGATATATTACAAACAGGAATATATACCGAGAAGTAAGTGTTAGTACGAACAATCAGGTTTAGTAGTAATTGTCTGAACGCGACTCTGTTTCGGACTGCCCCTGACTCGACTGACAGCCTCCTGACGGACATCCCTCCAGACTTCCGACTGAACTCTGAACTCTCTGCTTCCTCTTGAGGCGCAGTATTTATTACGCATGGAATAGTCCATTATGTTATTATGGGTAAGCTCCCCTAACAGAAAGAAAGAAAGTAGGGATGATAGAAGAGGCGATAATACTCTTATGTGTTTAATTTCTGTTTCAGTGAAATAGAAAAAAGGCTGTCAATTTCAAATCTTTCATTTGTATCCCCATACTTCTTAAAATAACGGCCAGCATTCATATTTATAATAGTAATTTCAATATCTAAGTAAGTTGTTAAACTTAAATATTGTTATGTATTTCAATTGTTTTCAATACTTCTGTCGTCTAGATGTCATCGATCTTTCCCCAGATAGATTATCTTTATCTTTGTTCGTTGACCGGTACAAGTACTCTAATGATAGCATGGCTATCATCATTTTCTCATTTCTCCTGAGAAGTCTCGAAATTTCATCCAATTTTTCACAAACTTTCATTGTTACACTGTAGACTGACGGGGAAAAAAAGAAGGAACAAAACTATCCCGAGTCTTTACAATTGACTTGTTTTTTATATTCAATACCGTATGTTTTGGCACAGGAGACGCAATTTTTCCCCAAAATGAATGCAAAATCGCCTTACAACTTTTATGCAAATTTGATGTCATCGGTAGACTAATTATCACCATCCCTCCCTACAATAATATGGTGAGGATGATGATGACGACGACGACAATAATAATAATAATGTCATGAAGCAATTTCTGACCTCGGGTCTCTGGGCGAGACACGGAAAGAAATGTGTACACACCAGAAATCAAAGGAAATGTAATACTACTACTACTACTACTACTACTACTACTACTACTACAGGTGCTACCATCCCAGGTCAAGGTAGACCTGGGAACACCAGCAATTAAGAGATGGTTCCACGCTCATCAAAGCCTTCCGATCAGAGGCCTTACTGTCGGATTTTGTTTATACTCTTACCCAGGACGCGGATGTAGTTTAACGTCATACGCAGGACGGAGATCGGGGTCGAGAGATGCGTAGAGTGGGTGACTTGACAAGTGGAGAACGCGAATATATATCTAACGTTGTCCAGGAGAAAAGACCCAAATTTTAAACGTCTTTGTGTAGAAAACATTACTGTCTTGTAATTATTTGCGTCTCAGGTCAAGCTGTATCGGTCTTGTCTCTCCGGTGTTCCCTTCCAGCCACTCATAAGAATTCATTTCTTATACGATATTGGTTCATTTCATCAACGAATTGATAGCAAATGTCATTAAGTGTCGCCAAAGATTTTACCAACAAATAAAATTGATCAAATCTGGCCCTTTTTTGTTTAGCTAATTTTTCAAATCGTTCAATTGTTGGATGTGCGGATGGTGTAATGGATAGTGTCCCTGAATAGAAAATAGGAGGGCCGTATTCAGAATTTCATTAGAATTCGTAACATTCACAGCTGGTGGGGGTGAAGAGATGCGTTCATGCCTTTCCAAAGAGTATTTGTGCGTAAGTAAATATAACGAACATGAGTGGATCTGAACATCGAAGGCTTTTTTAATATTTTCCACAATAGTTGTCTTAGCGATGTCTGAGGAACACTAACGATGATCAAAGTGTTGCTTTCTGCATTATTGCAGGATTTTTACTCTTAAAATGATGAGGTTAGGGCTACTTTTCCAACCTAATGATTTCCAAGTGAAATTGACTAAACCAGCCCACATTCTGCATGCACGATTTTACTGTATAGTGAAAAGTAATGAGTTCATTACGTTTTCCTGCTAATGCTCTTGCGTCGATAGAACGATATTCTGATGTCCGAGGCAACGGCAAAACGCTCTTGTAGAAGAAGGCGAAAAAAATAACGAAAAAAAGTACAATCATGGCGATTTCTAGCTTCGTCGTGAATCAAATGGGCGAGAAATTTCCAGCCTCGTCATGAATCAAAAAGTACAATCATGGCGATTTCCAGCCTCGTCGTGAATCAAATGGGCGCTAATCTTTCAAAAGACAATAGACGATGCAAAATCCAAGCTGAAAGAGTTTTTTTTTTTATGAATGATATTTTGACAGGTGAGCAGAAATATTATTTTTAAGGTGATGCATTTGTCAGCAAACATTTTCGAAGCAACTTCGGAATTCTGCCTGTGTTCAGCAAATGTCCAGAAATAATTACAAAGTGTTAAAAGACAAGGAAAAAAAAAAAGATAACATTTTAGTTTCCCTTCTCTTTTTAGGGGGGATGTTTAGTTTTGTCTTTCGGCGAATTCTATCTAAATTTCCAAACATTCTTTATGTTCTTTTTGCTTTTGCCAACGACTTTTTTTAAAATCATATTTCCGATTTCACTGGCTGGACTTTTTTGTCCTTTTTTTGTTATCTTTGAATCTGAAGTTTGTTTACATTTTCATAGTTAATTTCGCACTGTTTTTTTTTTTTTTTTTTTTTTTTACTAATCTAAATTTCCTTCATTTTATTCTTTCTAACCTCTTTCTTTCTTCGGATTAGCTAGACTAATATTTCTTTTTTTTTTCTTTTATTTCTTCCTTTCTTTTCTTTCATTTCAGATTTTTTTTACATTAAGGTTTTTACTTTTTCTTTGGGACTTTTTACATAAATATTTCCTTCTTTTTTTCTTTCTTTCCTTTTTACATAAATAGTTCTTTTTATCTTTACTTCCTCTCCATTCTCAAATAAGATTTGAATTTCTTTTCTTTCTCTCCTTTTTATTTTTTTGCTTTCTCTTTCTTTCTTTCTTTCTTTCTTTCTTTCTTTCTTTCTTTCTTTCTTTCCATTCTTTGATTGTTTCTTTGTTTCTTTTTTCTTTCATTAATTCTTTCTTTCTTTCTCGTTCCTTGTCTTCAGATTTCTTACATGAACGTTTCTTAATTTTTCCTTAAGACGTTTTACATCAATTTTTCTTCCTTTCTATCTTCCTGTTACTTCTTAAATAATATCTACATTTATTCTTTTCTTTCTTTCTCGCTTTCTTTCTTTCCTTCCTTCAGTCTTCTTTCTTTCTTTGTTTTTTCTTTCTTTCTATCTAACTGAGTGTCTGTCTCTATCGCTGTCTGCCTTTCTTTCTTGAGAATTTTTACAGTATCAATAACTTAATGTGTATTTCATTAACGGCTTTTATTTTTCTTTCTCGCTTTTCATTTGCATTTCTTTGTAACTAAATAATCATTCTCTATTAACCTTTCTTGCTTGCTACTCTTTACATTAGCCGTTATTTCTTGCTATTTAATTGATTAACGTTATGTCTTTCGTCCTTCCTTCCTCTCATCTTTATTTAATTTTCGTTCACCTTTTAAAAATGCTATATTAACTATACTTTCCTAAGTATTTTTAAAATATTATTTTATTCTTACTAAATGTTTTTATATAAAACGCTCTTTCTTTCTTTCTTTTTTTCTTTCTTTCTTTCTTTCTTTCTTTCTTTCTTTCTTTGCTAAAAATGATTTAATTATCCTCTCTTACTTTTTTGATAATTTTACATTATCAGTTCTTTCTTAATTTTCCTGGCATTAATATCGCCTTTGTCTTTTTTCTCTATTTTTCTAACTTTTTCTTTTAAGTTAACAATACTTTCTTTGTTCTTTCTTTTTTACTTGCTTCCTTTTTTACGTCTTTCCTTCCTTCTTTCCTTCTTTCTTTCTTTTTCTTCCTTCTTTCTTTCTTTCCTTTCCTTCTGTCTTCCTTCCTTCCTTCATCGCCTTTCTTTCTTTCTTTCTTTCTTTCTTTCTTTCTTTCTTTCTTTCTTTCTTTCTTTCTACTTTATTTTTTTCATTGTATCATCTTCTTCCATTCGAGATCCTTTCTGCTGACTCCCTCTTTCGTAGTTGTCACCACACTAATTCTATCCTCCATACTAGTTCTCCTCCAGCCAACAATTCTCAGATGTCATTGCGCGCCTTTTTGCACCCTAAGGATAAACTAATTAAGATGAAGCTAATATATATATATATATATATATATATATATATATATATATATATATATATATATATCAAATGAATCAAAAACTGCGGCTCCTTTTTATCGGTTTCCCTCCATAACGGATATTTTCAACATTGTCTTTGTAGTTTTTGGTTTGACATTTTTCATAAAAAAACTTTTCATCTTTGTTTTTTTGTTGTTAGACATTCTGGAAGAAAAAAACTCATCATTCTCAAATCTTGCAACTGTGAAACATAAAACGTGTTTTCTTTTTTGTAAAAGTTTACAAGAGGACACTTTCATTTCCCGCTCTCACTTTCCTTGATCTGTAAAATCTTATCTATCTATCTATCTATCTATCTATCTATCTATCTATCTATCTATCTATCTATCTAGGTCTGTCCATTATCTATCTATCTATCTATCTATCTATCTATCTATCTATCTATCTAAGTTTCGTGATGTTTATCAACTGTCTCTTCGTATCTATCTATCTATCTATCTATCTATCTATCTATCTATCTATCTATCTATCTATCTATCTATCTATCTATCACAGTCGTCCCTCTCTAGCACGTCTACATCACTAACAAGTATTTGCCAGGGAATCATCCTCTTCCCCACCAGCTATAGGTAAATAGCAGGACAGACCTGGTTCTATAGCCTTGGATGACAACTGAAGTAAATATAAATTAAGTGAAAAACCTTTATATTAATTATAGATTTACAGACACGCACATACATATATATTTAGGAATGGATTTTTCTTTTATTAATCCGACATATTTTATTACTTAAGCGTTATTTTAGTGTATACCCATATCTGAGTAGACTCCCTGTTTATTTATTAAACAGTATTATCATCTACCTATGTGAATATTCGAGAAATAAAATAGAAAAATAAACGGAGCGTCCACTCAAATATAGTATCAGTTAAAAATGAAGTCAACACGCTTATGTATGTATATATATATATATATATATATATATATATATATATATATATATATATATATATATATATATACATATATATATATATATATATATATATATATATATATATATTAATTATTTATTTAAAAATATGATTCCAACGCGCTACATAAAAGTTCTCATGTTTCAAAACAAGAGCCGAAAACTTCAATATAATTATTTGAATTAAATTGAAATTTTTTTCGCTTGAAGATGGAACAGAGCTTACTTTAATTCAATTCTTATGTAGCGTGTTGGAATCATATTTTTAAATAAATAATTATATTTATGCTTTACTTTTGTATCGAGCACTATTTTTTAAAAATGATAACAAAAATACTAAAGAACTTTGAATTATTTACCTACTGAGTTCTTTCCTATTTTCTCTCTCTCTCTCTCTCTCTCTCTCTCTCTTCTCTCTCTCTCTCTCTCTCTCTATATATATATATATATATATATATATATGTATATATATATATATATATATATATATATATATATACTTTAAAATATCAGGAGCTCAGTGAAATCTGGCTACACGTTATTTTATATTTATTTTATTTTTTCACGCGTGTATTGAGCACTTTTTAATACTGCTGTTTCCCTGTTTCATTCAGCACTGACTTTCACACACACAGACACACAGAGACAGAGAGACAAACACACACACGCACACACACACACACACACACACACACACACACATATATATATGTGTGTGTGTGTGTGTGTATTCCCTCGCACATACATACACATGTTTTAAAACACACACATATATATAAGTGTCTGTGTGTGCGTATTCCCTCGCACATACATACACATGTTTTAAAACACACACACACACACACACACACACACACACACACACACACACACATTAACAGGCGCATTTTCACAAACAAATCTTGCATTATTCGGTACAAAACCATGCACACCATACACGCACAAGTTTCGACACGCTTATATACACAGAGACTTATACTTGGTCACCTTTTCACATACTCATACACTTCACACTTGCAAACACATCCAAAATTAACCGTTTTCTCATGTTACGCACAAAAAATATTTTTACACACAGATGCAGACACACACGCACGCATATTTTCATAAACACGTTTTTACAGACGCACGCCTTTTCAGTTAAAACAGACACTCACACCGTCACACACACACATATATATATATACAAGTCTATATGAATGAGGATATATATATATATATATATATATATATATATATATATATATATATATATATATATATATCCTCATTCAGTAAACTTGTAAAAAAAAAAAAAATAAAAGGACGGCTGTCTAAAAACAAACTTTTATCAACAAAGGCGAAACAGGAAGTAGTTGGTAAAAAATATATATATATATGAGGAACGACCTGCAAGACTGCCTACCGTTGGAAAAGGGAAGGTGCAAGCTGGGAGGATACATCCGCACGCCATCTTGAAACCTTTTCACGCGAACAGGTTCACAATGAAGAGGTTTCTGTTAATTAACGTCAATACCTTTCGACATGTTTCGTATTATTGTTAGTAGAAATGGGACCTCCTCCTAGCAGGTGCTCTCGGTCGGAATTAGTTAGACCGAAAACGACAGGTGTAAATATTTTAAATGTTTTGGATTTTATAGGTAGCACTCATGCATTATGACAATAGACCTGGGTAAAATAAGTCCTGATGATATACGTTAGTATAAAATATGCTTTCACCTTGTTAAGACATTGTTGAAACGAACACATTTACTAAATGAACTGTAACCTCTACGCAAATACAGAGAAATTGAAATAGTTTCGTTAATTATTCGAAAATAAAACTAGCGGAAGTTCATAATTTAGAACTAAACCGCTAGAAATAGCGATCGTTTATCTCTCCATATATAAAACAGTCTGTGTGTTTGTCTGTTTGTGTGATACCTTTTCACTCGAGATCCATCCAACCGATTTTGCCCGAACTTGGAATATATATTGTACAATGTAAGAGACAGGTTCTTAGCGTAAAAAATCGATATTTTTTTAAACGTCAATAATCGATAAAGAAACGATTTTTTTCTTCCGATTTCGTTCAGACTCGGTATGTCGGTTACTTTCATTACAACGAGCAAAACGATATGCCATTTTTATTTCTACGCCACTGGGTTTAGCGGAAAAACCTCAAAAAGAGAAAAATCGATTTCAACATTTAAAATTTGTGATGAAATCGATATATTTCATCACAAATTTTAAACTAAAAAATCACTCAATTTTCAAGCAATCTAACACAAAACTTCACTCAGTTGTAGCCCACAATAGTTGATTTTTTAACAGTCATTTTACTTGATAATTGAGTCCTCCCATATATAGTGAAAAACCGCGTAAATAAAAAATGAAATTTTTACTCGTTTCTTTCTTATTTTTTGTTGATCTTTCAACCAATTTTGATCAAACTTAACAATTACTTTATAAATTTATCCGCTTTTACATCCCTTGTAGCACACTGACAAACGGAATTTCAAAAAATTCCAAAATAATTGTAGTCTGAAGTGGGTCATCATGTTGCCGGTTTTACACCTTCATGTCTCGGCTAACTTTGATTGAATAAATACAGACTACTACTGTTATACCAGTAACTGCATTAATTCAAAATGTTTTTTTTTAATGAAAGTACTTTAAATTAATTGAAGAAGATAGACTCTGTTACATCTAAACATGATGCTGTTTTTGCTTCATTCAAATTGAACGCTTTTTTCAGATCAACCAGCTAGGTAGGGCTACGAGATTCTTATATTTGATGCGAGACCTAATTTTGAGAATTCGAATTTGAGCGCTTAATTTAAATGACATACCTGCACCGTTTCTCTTACTTTAAAACTCCGAATAATTCAAACTGAAAACAAGAGATTAAAAAGCATGCAGTTTTCAAAAATATTCTTCTTCTAGGTGCTATGCTCCTTTAGGACGGTCACGATCATGTCTCTCCACACTTTCCTGTTTTTGTAGCTATTAATAAGTTATGTATTTTTGTGATATCTCCTAAACCTTGTTCCAGCGACCATTTACTCAAGCTCGCCAGGGAGGTTCTGCTTTGGCTTGGTTTGATTTGTTTTAAGGCATATCATCTTTAATGGGTCATTTAATGCCGACAATATTTTTATTGCTGGTAATAATTTTTTTCTTCTAAAAATATTGCTGGTAATATTTATTTCATCAAAAATGTATTGCTAATAATAAACTTTTCTTCAAAAATTTATTGCTGGTAATAATTTTTACAAAAATATATTGCTTGTAATAAAACCTATTTTGGCGCTTTTATAGTTCTTTGACTCCAGTTAGGGGGTTAACTATTTTCCTATATTTGAGACCCTAACAGGTGCTACCACCCAGGGTCAAAGTGGACCTAGGGACACCAGCAATTAAGAGGTGGTTCCATATTTCTCAAAACCTCCTGATCAGTGTCTTTGCTGATGGATGTAGTTTATCGTCTTACCCAGGACGTGGATATAGTTTTCGTCTTACCCAGGACATGGATATAATTTTCTTTTTACCCAGAACGTAGATGTAGTTTATCGTCTTACCCAGGATGTGAGACTTTATGCGTCGCTTTCTTCTGTCTCATTTACCTTAAACCTGTATTGTGAGTATCAATTTTCTAATCACTCTTTCCTCGTTATATGACCTAAAATGTTCAACTGTCTTTTCCTCATCTTAAGCATAAGTGTCATTTTTGTTACCATTTTCTCCAGAACGCCGTCTTTGCTTGCAAGTTCGGTTCATGGCTTCCTCAGCATCCTTCTGTGAAAACACATATCTATGGCTTCATGTCTCCTCTTCATCTGGGGGAAGATTTTCCAGCATTCACTGCCATTTAGGAGGGTTGATATTAAGTAAAAATTACATAGTATTTTCTTTGTTTCTAAATACATTTTTCTGTTTTTTAATACTTTTCTCAGTATTTGGAAGGGATTTTAAGTTTAGGCCTACATAGTATTTTGCAACGCTGCCATTAGAAAAGCTTTTGTAAGGAATCTTTCACTATCGTAATTCGCCTTCTGATTTTCATGGAGTACTTTACGTCATTTCTCATTACGCTTGTTTGATTTTTCGTATCTCCAATTTGAAATGTGCTTGTTGGATTGTCACCTTTGCTAACATCACGCATTCACTCTTCTTGCCATTGATGTTTAATTCTTTTTCCTTGCTTTTCAAGGATACTAATCCAAAAATGAATACACCATTTGTTATATTGACATTAGCATTGCTTCCAGACCATTCACATTTAATATAATCTGCTTACAAATAAAATAATCTTAGGTTGAATAATATTTTTTTCTTTATATTTCTCTTTAAAAGAATCCTCAAAAAATATATTTCTCTCGCTACGGAATATTTGAAAATATTAAATAGTTATCTCAATCGTTTTGGCTGTTGTCCGTGTCTCGTGTACCGGACACACACGTCATTTTTCAAGCATACATACATAAATGTATACACATAGTTAATTACTGCTTAGTTATTGCTCGCCATGTTTTCACAGGAAATTGTCCTACGGTACAATAGCCTAGTGGATTAAAGTGTTGGTTTGAGTATTTGGTGATATAATATTTGTGAATTCAATCCTTGTGTGCAC